CCCCGCCACGCTCGGACACGGGCACGGACGCAACGGGGGAGCTCGGGCGAGGGCGGACGGGTAGCACTGCACAAAGAGGTCGGACACTCGAGGGAAAGGCCATATTCCACCTCCGTATCTAATGAGAGAAAATTAATCAGCCCAGCAGGAGGAAGACGAAGCAGGAAGGAGCGAAATCCCAGATCCGGCAGGAAGGCGCTGGCGGGGCAAAACCAAGGAATTTCAGCACAAATAATCCTATCTCCGCAAGTACGGCAGTGCAAAGCTTGACTGTAGGGGAAGAGCAGAGCGCTGCCTGCGTGCAGCCGGCGGAAAAGCAGGGAGACAAAGGTTTCCACCAGTAAATACCCTGGTACAAAACCACCAGCAAAACCAGGGGAACGGCAAGCGAGCAAAGCTTTGGCACGCAGATACCTGCTAAGTATCCTCCCGCTCCTTATGCAGCTCCACAGCTCGTCCCGAGCACCCATCCAGCACCCCACCCCGGGGAAGGGAGACCCACAGAAACGCCTCTCGGGCTCAAGGACTACCCGGGGGCAGGGGAAACGGTTCAGGTGACATCTGGAGAAGAGCGCTTAGGTTCAAGCGACAAAAACCAACTCTCTGCACTCACAGCACTTTTCGCTTTATAAAAAGCGACGAGTGCTAAATAAAAGCACGAGAGAGCAGCAACAGCAAGGGCGACCCAGTCCAACGGGCAATGCCGGGCGAACGCCGCAAGAAGAGGTTTCTGCGGATGCTTCGTTCCCCAGCCCTGCTGCTCATGCAGATCCCCATCACGGAGGGCAACGGGGCTCCGCCACTTCCCACGTGCTGCAGGTCCGGGGCACCGGCCACAAACACACCCCTGGTTTTTCTCTTTGCAAGGGCCCACCGGAGCACGCAGAGCCCGTCCTGCTCTGCGTCCCGCTTTAGGCACGACGCACGGGATCAAGTTTTGTTCCTGCAACTCAGGAATAATTCAGGGTGCAACTTCCTCGGGCTCCTTCAACGCCTGCGAATGAGCTGTGCGCTCTGCCGCTGCCGTCCTGCGCGCTCGCCCCGTGCACAGCTCCTGCGGCCCGGCGCACAAGGACAGGCCGCCCCTCGCCACCTCGGACGCTTGTCCCTCACGCTTCCAGGCTGTCATTTAAGCCAGTTGCTGAACTGGGCATTTTCCGGGACTCAGATTTTCCCCACTGTTCGAAATGAGATGTTACTGTGATCTTGCATACAAGATGCAAGTACCAGCTGGGGAGCAAACCTAAATCGATGGCTATTAAATTATTCTGCTGCCTGCTGGTTTGAATTCACAGCGCCTCCGTCTCGCCCAGACTCGCAGGTCATTAGGCAGGCAGGCACCGGATCCCACCTGCCACCGACACGACACGCTTCTCAAAATTTACCCTTCTCGGGTGTCCAGGCAGAGCAGCCGTTCTGCCCGGACCGAGCCGCTGCGCCCAAGTTACGCAGAGGCTAGAAATGAAGAAATAGGGCTTCAGTCCAGCGAAGTATCCCCTTGGGTCACGCGATGCAGCGCTTCTTTTGCAAGTCTTACAGACACCTGCTGGGGAAATGCAGGGAAAAAGCAGAATCTAATATCAATGACGTTTTTGTTTTTTCCCAGTCCCTGACAGTGCAGTGTAACTACAGCTGCTCTCTCCCCTGGCACACTCCCAGGTAAGAAGGGGCACTACTGAAACCAGGCAGCCTCCAGTATCTTTAACAATTTACTTGGATCTTTTTTCCATCTTTTTGATTGTCTCATGATGTGACCCGGTCTTTCCTCAGCACAGTCCTAAAGTCAGATGTGTTCAAACAAACCAAACCAAACCGCCAGCTGTTGAACGGAGAGAAGAAGGTGCCCTTCACGGACTCACGGCCCTGCGTCCAGCGCATCTTTCCCTGCAATCTGAGATCTTTCCTTATCTATTTCTCAGCTACTCCAGGGACTAGACTCAGCTTTCCTAGGCCCAGGCAGGATTAATCGCATTCATAAAGCACTATTTCTGTCGGAGACGTAAAGACTCGAGCCTTCCTTCTCATCTGCATTTGTCCAGTCTCTCCTCCCAACCACGGCAGAATATATAATGAAATGCAAAGTCAAAGAACTATCCATCACTGCAAATTGCTGCTGCAGCTAAGTCCTTGATCATGTCACCTTTCGATCTTTCCTAGGATAAGCTAAATAAAATGAGCTTCTTCAGTCTCATTTTCTTTACTGCATCTTCTCGGAGGCAGCTGCCACCCAACGCGCTCTCTGCAGCCAGCCGACCCCCTCAGAGAAATAGCACGTACGTTTTAGGAGAGCGTGTCACGATAGCTGCGTATCAGGGTGCACGACCAGGGAGACCTGTCCTGCCTCGGAGACGTGTCCATCGCTGCCCCGCGGTCCGCAGCCCTCCCACGGCTTGCCCGGCGGGGCAGCTGCGCGCTCCGGCCGGCGCCGTCCCGCTCCAAACCCG